CATCTATGTTCTACTGGTTCCTCCCTGCCCTCGTTGCATACCATGACGGCACTCTTCGTAACGTTGGCAGACAATCTCCACTTATCAGTAAACTTCTTCGCCGCGTCAATTTGCAGTTGCAGTCCCTCAGGGGTGTCCGACATACCAACAAAGTCATCCGCAAACAGCATTCCTGACACCGAAGTTTCCGTGTCCCCTACTTTTACTCCCTTCCGGACTGCCTCTACGACTTCCAACAGATCGTTGATGAACACCTGGAACAATGTTGGGGACAGCGTGCAACCTTGTGGGACCCCTTGCTCAATGTCGAAGAATTTAGACAGTTCTCCGTCTAGCATGACCGCGCTTTTCGTACACTCTGTCATCTTCTTCAGCACCCTCCACATTTTCCCCTTGATCCCGTACTTGGACAATTGTTTCCACAGCCCATTTCTCCATACGGTATCGTATGCCTTTTTCACGTCCAGGAAGAAGCAGTACGTCCGCTTGCCCGCCCTCTTTCTACCTTGGATGATTCTCCCTACCGTGAATGCGTGGTCTACGCACCCCCTCTTCTGTCGGAAACCTGCCTGGCCCTCACTAATGCTACGTTTCTTCTCCAATACTCCCACTATCCTATCGTTCAGCAGCTTACAGAACACTTTTCCTACTGTGTTCAACAGTGTGATACCCCTGTAGTTTCCTGGGTCAGTCTTGTCTCCTTTCTTAAACAAGTTCACAACCACTCCTTCCCTCCATCTACTTGGCGCATACTCGTTTTTCCACAACCAGTTGTATAGCAGTACCATCAGCTGGATCATCCCCTTGCCCCCAAACTTCATGAACTCGTTTACTATCCCATCCGCCCCTGCTGCTTTGTGGCACTGCAGCTTGTTCACACACGCCTCAACCTCGTCCTCAGTGAACTCCTTTTCTAGTTCTACGTTCCCAACGTCTGCCTTCGATGTCTCTTCTTCTTTCTGGGCCCATGCGTCCACCTCCTTCTTAAACACTTGGTCAAAATCTTCATTCTCCGAAGGCACTCCAAGTCTCTTGTAGTGTCCTGCTAGAACTTGCCTTTTTCCCTTCCCACTGCTGACTAGTCCACCGTTCACACCTCGCAATGTTGCTACCCCTGTATCCCCCCCTTGCGCGGTCTTTTTTACCATCCCACTAATCCCTTCCCACATCTGCTTGACGTTCCCCTCCAGGCCTCCGTTGGCCTTCTGCACTACTTCGTCCCAAATGCTCTTTTTCTTCTTTTTCACTAGTCCCTTCACCTGTTTCCTCTTGGCCCTGTACTTTTCCCAACTCTCTTCAGACCCCTCACCCAGGTACTGCTTGAAGACTTCTCTACGTTCCCCTATTTCTTCTTTCAGCTCGTCATCCCACCACTTAACCGATACCCCACATCGTACCACCTTCTTTCCCACTACTCTCTCTGCCGCTGTGTTCACTATGGACTCCCATCCTTCAATCACCCTGTCCCCTGCTGCTTGTACGTCTACCTTTCCGTCTTCGACGCTTCTCAGCAGGTTTCTGAAGGGTTCTACACTACCAGCCAATCCCTTCTGGAATTCATCGCGTGTCCCCTCGTCTCCCAAACGCTCTACTTTCCACCGGAACACTTTCCTCTGTTTCTTACTCTCCGTCTTTCTAGATCGGTCGATGTTTGCCCATATGAGGAAATGGTCGGTCGAACCTATATCTATCGCACTTACGTGCAGCTCCGGGACCTGTGTGCTCCCCCTATCTACCAGGATGTAGTCGAGGATCGAGTATTCATTGCAAACTGCCCTCTGCCTGGTGAACTCTGGCTTATCGCTTTCCCTCCTACCGTTCAACACCATCAGCTCGTTGCTTCCCAAGAATTCAAGCATCCCTCACTCCGTTGTCCATTCACTTTGTCTTCTCCGTGCTGCCCGATCGCCTGTCCTCTACTGCAAGCTTTCCCTACTCTGGAGTTGAAACCGCCCACCATGACAACTTCTCCCTTCCTACTGAACCTCTGGACATCTTCCCCAATTTGTCCGAAGTTCTCCTGCGCCTTGCTTGCGACTTTCTTCGACGACGGTGGGACGTATACGTTCCCTAGAAACAAATCTTTCTCACCCCGCTCCCCAGGTATCTTAAGCCATAGGCTTTCCTCGAACTCCGTTTTCATCACTACTTCCACCACGTCATACAAGTGTTCCTTGACCAGGAATCCGACTCCCCCCTCCCCCCTTTTCTTCGGGTCTAAGCCCTTTCTTGCCTTCCCTACCCACCGGTACTTCCCTATTTTGCTTACCACGTCCCCATCCTTCAGTTCCCACGTCTCTTGGATCCCCACTACATCCAGATCGCTTTGTTCTACTTGGTCCACTATTTCCAACCGCTTGCGCTCACTCCTTGCGAACTCGCACACGTTCCACGACCCCACTCTCAGCTTGTGCTTTTCCCTATTGGAGATTTTGCGCACTCTATCCTTCGCCTTCCGCTTCTTCTCGGCGTTCTTCTGATTTGCCTGCTCGTCTCCCCCGCCCGGTCTCTTCTTCGCCTCTATCGCCCTCGCCTCCTGTCGCCTTACCTTCTCTGTTGCTATCATGTTCGCGACGCAAACCCTCCATCCAAACTTCCTTACGTAGTTCGACAGCTTCTCGATGTCAACCCCCAAGCACTCTTGGCTGTCTCCCTTGGTCAATTTCACCCGGAAATGTTCATGCTCTCTGCCTACTTCTCCCCTTGCTAGGCAATGCAGTCCCTCCGTGTCACACCAGTTCTTGAACTCTATCCTCGTCATGTCCCTTGGAATTCCAAACAGCAGCAGCTCCAACCTGTCTCCCTGCCACAGTTTCTGCTTCCATCCTCCCGGCTTCTTCACCATCCTCATGATCTCTACAGCAACTGGACCTCGGCCACTTGTTTTTCGTGTTTTTTCAGGAAGGTATACGGAATACTCGGCCTTCCCAATCCGAGTGTCCGGTGGGGGTTGGGGGGGGGGGGGGGGGGGGGCCCTTTCCTTTTTTTGCGTTTAAAACCTTTGGGGGGTGGGCCCCCCTCTCTTTTGAGGGGCCCAAAAATTTTTGGGAGACAGGCGGAAAAAAACCCCC